TGCAGATGGATGCATCGTCAAATGTCCTCCGAGTGTGTCCTTCGGTTTCATCTCAGATATGAGTGGGTGGGGGCGGAGGAGTGGGGCTGGCCGGGGCTAAAAGGACGACAGCCTAGCAAACGCATGCAACAAATGAGTTGACTGTGAGAGAAGACTGAAATGAGCTCGTGATGACACGTCACTGGACTTAGTCAGGTTGGAGTCAAATACAGCGACCAGCTGTGAACAATTAGATTAAAATTTGCAATCGACAGCTCTAATATATAGCTTTAATGTACTATATGGGGCGTTCATTGCTTTCACATTTCAACCTTCAACATATATATATATAAATATATATATGTGTGTGTATTCATACAAATAAACCTGCAACACGTGTATATGTATATATATTTGTATATAGATACAGTATGTGTCCATTTATATTTTAATTGAACACTCTGTGTTTTATGTTTATTTATGTATATATTTATACACATACATCTGTATAAATGTTAATTGAATACTTTAGTGTTTTTATATAACAAAAATGAGTGTTTTTATGTCTATATATATTTATATATATACACGAACATACATCAATATATGTTATGTCAATTTACACACACACACGCATATATACAGTATATAAATATATATATACAAATATATATATATAAATATGTGTGTCCATTTATATGTTAAGTGAACACTCTTTGTGTTTTATATATATTTACATAATTATTTACCTATATATATGTATTTATACACATACATCTGTATAAATGTTAATTATACACTTTAATGTGTGTTTTTGTATATATGTACATATATTTATTTATACATATATACACGTACATACATCTACATATGTGTTAATTGAAAACTCTTAGTCAATTAACAAGTCAGTTTACACACACATATATAAATATATATATATATATGTGTGTGTAAACTGACTTGTTAATTGACTAAGAGTTTTCAATTAACACATATATAGATGTATGTACGTGTATATATGTATAAATAAATATATGTACATATATTTATTTATACATATATACACGTACATACATCTACATATGTGTTAATTGAAAACTCTTAGTCAATTAACAAGTCAGTTTACACACACATATATAAATATATATACATATATATAATAATATATATACATATATATAAAAATATATATACATATATATAAAAATATATATACATATATATAAAAATATATATACATATATATAATAATATATATACATATATATAATAATATATATACATATATATAAATATATATATATATAAATATATATATATATAAATATATATACATATATATAATAATATATATACATATATATAAAAATATATATACATATATATAAATATATATACATATATATAAATATATATATATATATGTGTGTGTGTGTGTGTGTGTGTGTGTGTGTGTGTGTGTGTGTGTGTGTGTGTGTGTGTGTGTGTGCTGTAAGCCTGAAAGAAATATATAATCTGAGAAATATATAATCTGTTGGAGTGTGAGACTCTGAACCTACATCAGGCAGTCTCCAGCGGAGTGCCCGGAACTAAAAAAAACACCTACAACCCTCTGGTGTGCTTTAGTCAGGTTTTCTATGGTACATTGTGAGAATGGCAGCTCACTTTTTAAACTACACTGTACTCTGACTCAGTAAAATCCCTGTGCTGGCCAAACACCTATGTGTTGGTTTTTGAAATGATGATGATGATCGGCTGGTTTTTTCTCTTCTCTCCTGCCTCGCCGCCCCGCAGCAAGTGACACAAACCATGGGAGGTTAATGTCTATTCCAAAATGGTTGCTTCCATAACTCCTCTCTGCATATTAAGATTATGTTTATTACTATTGCTCTCGTAGGTGCACTAGAATTTTAAAAGGGTCCCGTTTTCCAGTGCTGCACGAGCAGCAGATTTCAGGCTGCAGAGACTCCTTGCCTGAAGGGAAGATAAAAAAAAAAAAAAAAAAAAAGAACTCAAGAGCAACCTGTTGTTTTATGGCGCTTTTTATATTGGTGCAAAAAAAGGAAGTTTAGATGACTTTCAGCTCCCACTAAAACGTTTCCCTCACGATCACCAGGTTCATTCCACCTAATATCGAGCTCTTAAAAAAAAATAAAATAAACCTAATTGCGAAATGCACATTACAGCGTGTCATGCTGCTGTGAAAAGATGAATGTGGCAATAAGACTGGAAAAACACCAGACGGAGGCTTTTTTTCGGAAGACAAGTCACTCAAAGAGACTCGGACTTTTGTTCTTCTTGTCATAAACTCAACATAAACTTACAGCAAGAAGGCTATTCTGCGGTTCATCTTTCGTGGATTCACGACTTCGCGGGTTTTTGAAACCATACATATAAGATATACTGTATCCCGGATTTGGATCTGCAAGAGATGTCACAGGAATGGGACGACGATATGGTTCGATCGGTCCAACTTTGCAACAAAATGGACGACGTCGCGACTGCGTACAAGCTACTCTTCGACTGGAAAAAAGAAGCAGCGGAAGCAACTGCCGATCACGATGTTTCTGCAGCCAGTTCCTGCTACTGCTACGGATACACCTTCGGAAACTGAGGAAGAGGTGTCCCAAGAAATGGCACCACCCTCTGGAGAGATCGGCTGCGCAGTAAAAGTCATCATCACCTTCCTCATCATCATTTTACTGCTCATAAATATGGTGTCACTACTTCACGGGAATTCAGTTCTCGCGGCAGGCCTTGGAACCTAGCTACCACGATAAACGAGGGACCACTGTACATACTGTATGAAGTATGTTAAAATGTGGAGAAACAATAGCAGTTTTTGTCTTGAATCATTCCTGAGCGTCCTGAGGAACTACAGTCTTTTGAATGTAGTCAATTAGTAAAACTGAAGTACATTTCTTCACTCTGTCCCACTACCAAATCTGGCCCGGTACCAAATGACCTACAGCCCGACACCGGTCCCCTGACCGGGGGTTGGGCACCCCTTGCTATATAGCACTACAAGCTAGTCTTCATTTCTCATTCTTGAATTACCAAATCAAACATTCCTTAAGACCAAAATGAGTAAATTTGACTTCTTGTCGCAGGCCAGATGTTAGAGATTTATGGACCAGAAGTGGTCCCCGCGCCAGTAGTTTGAGATCTTTGTCCTAAAGAATACTTGTAGCACTTATTACTTAGCATTGTACAATTCATTTTAGGAATGATGTTTCATTCCTACGGTGCAACGTAACTTTATTTTCGTGCTCTTTGCACGTCAGGCTATATTACTGTTATTATAACTGTCACTAATACAGGAAACAGAGTTTCAGTGTCACCTGGACAAAGCGCATTTCTGATAGTTGCCGGACGAGATGTAGATTTAAACGTGGATAACAGCTTTCCAGGAAGGTTAGTTACGTGGTTTAAATCAGGACAGAATTCAAGCTGGGTTTTTATATGGGTTGTTTTAATGGGACCTGTGTGAACCAGGTGCTCGCCTTGAGGGGATGAACTGCCACCCAGACTTCCTCCCTTGGAAAAAGGGAAGAACATTTGGAGGAGGTGGAGTTTCTATCGAGATGCAGTGCTTTCAGGGAGTTCTCTTTGCTTTAAGTACGCCATTAAATTTGCTCCTGTACTTTTCTGCACTTATAGATGAACAGGAATTTATTAGGACGGGTTTTTTTTAAAATGAACCGGAGCGAGTAAGTCACGGTAGGTGTCAGACTGCGACTCTGTGCTGACTCCAGTTAAGGTGAACGTATGCGTGGAAATAGTCCTATTTGAACAAAGTGTTTCATCCTTCTTAACTTAACCTTTTAAAACAGCCTGCTCTTGGAGCAAAGAGCGTCTCGGAATGGAAATGAACTTCCACCATGGCATTTTAATGTATACGTACCGCTTCAACACTCAACTTAAAAACACACCGTGCAGCATTAATTGACTTCCTACCCATTAACTGTATGCAGGAAATGGAAGTACGCTAGCCAAAACCACAGACAAACTGCTAAAGGAAAACATACTATAAAAAAAATCTCAAGCATCCGTTCTTGACCAATTTTGTCCAATCAGAACTCTGGATTCATCCACTACTACTGCGCCAACATTTGCCTGAAGAGCTGGTGAAAATGTGGTTAAAAATTTGTACTTTGGCCATGGTTTATAGACAGCTGGCTGCGGTAAAAAAGCCGCGCAGAAAGTATATTATATTTCAAATTCACATTTATTTTGAAACAAAAACTCGTACTAGTACACTCTCATTTTCTTTTTTCTTTTCATGCACTAGTAAGACCTTATGCTAATGAGCGGAAAACAAACATGGCTGAAGAGGTTTAAAAGTAAGGCAGCAGAAGGCTAGCCAAATAGTTCCTGTGTGAACTAGTTTTCGTAAGTCTTAATATTGTTAGTTCGAATGATGGAACTTGGACTTTCTCAATAAATTTACGGTAGACGGCAACGTAACCACAAAACGTCGTGTCGTATGCACAGTACTACAGATGTACGATAATATCGGTCAACCAATATTATCGGCCAATGTTAGCGTAATTATGTAATATCGGTAACAATCGTAATCGGCTTTTCCTCCGGTAATCAAAACCCGATGACGCGGGAAAGTGAAAGTGAATTATTGTCTCTCTCCGCAAACGGCTGCATATATTGTTTTTTTTATTGGTTGCCGCTATTTTTCCAGCCATTCTTGTACCGACAGATGTTTTGCAGAGGAAACATTGGGGGGATTTCCCAGGCTGCAGCTTCGTCCGCTGCTGAGACGTGCTCTGATGTGGACAGATGTGTGGCCTCACTTTGAGCCCGGGGTGTTGTGGAGTGAGAGAAAGCTGTAAGGCCGTTTCCCCCCCCGAGAGTCTGGGAAGCGCGGCTGAAGCCTGAACACGCTTTGAGGAGTTTGGTGTCTTGAGAATGACCTGTGATCCAATAAATGTTCCGGCCTTTTCCCTTTCCCTCCCTCCTGAGAATCACTCATGTTTTTTACGTTTTTTTTTTTTTTTTTTTTCCAGCCTGCTGAAGCACATCTCCTCTCCGGAGAGAGCAGATCATGCACGTTGTCCTCAGTCCGTGTTGTGTTGTTTCAGATCTGGGAGCCATGACCAGACGGTGAGTGAACTGTACACTCACTAATCAATCACATTTTAAATATTTATCTACGCTCTGGTTCAGTGGTTCTCAAACTGCGGTACGTGTACCACCAGCGGTACGTGAGCGCTCTCTATTGGTAGGCGGGGAAAATTCATATGTCCACATTTAGAACCACTGCTCTAGTTTATTTTTGTTATCACAAGCTAGGTTCACAGTTTTGCTGAACACTGATCTCCAACGAACACGCTTCGATGCCATACGATATGTAGCGTTCTATCTATCTATCCATCCATCCATCTATCCATCTATCCATCCCATCCATCCATCCATCCATCCATCCATCCATCCATCCATCCATCCATCCATCCATCCATCCATCCATCCATCCATCCATCCATCCATCCATCCATCCATCCATCCATCCATCCATCCATCCATCCATCCATCCATCCATCCATCCATCCATCCATCCATCCATCCATCCATCCATCCATCCATCCATCCATCCATCCATCCATCCATCCATCCATCCATCCATCCATCCATCCATCCATCCATCCATCCATCCATCCATCCATCCATCCATCCATCCATCCATCCATCCATCCATCCATCCATCCATCCATCCATCCATCCATCCATCCATCCATCCATCCATCCATCCATCCATCCATCCATCCATCCATCCATCCATCCATCCATCCATCCATCCATCCATCCATCCATCCATCCATCCATCCATCCATCCATCCATCCATCCATCCATCCATCCATCCATCCATCCATCCATCCATCTATCTATCTTTAGTTAGTTAGTAAAAAAAATGTCAGTCAATCTTAAATTCCAAACATCCCCCATTTTAGTAGCTCTCAGTCACGTGATCGCGTCCGTCAATCCAGGTTCGTCAGCTTAGATAAATATGCTGCGTTTCATTTGAATTTGCTCCATATCCAATGAAAGTGACAGAATGCAGTTTTTGAATCACAATTTTAAAAACAATAATAACATTTTACGAATCAGTTACTAAACATTTCAGACCTCGTTTGAATTCCAAGGATGAAAAACACTGGCGTAGTAGTCAGAGTGTAGATGTCCTAAAAAAAAACCCACTGCTTTTATTTGCTGCCTTCATTAACGTCCGTGCTTCTGGAAACTTCCTTCTAAATGAAAAATACATACGTATTGTATCGTGCGATCCTTATTAGGCTTACAGATGTAGGGATACGTTTGCATAAAGGTTGTAACCTTAAGGTATGGATGGAAAGGTGTGATCCATTTTGTTTCAAAAAAATGAAGAATGGGCGCATATGAACCCGGGGACTTCATATGCGCGAAATTAACGACGGAGAACATGCATGAATAATACATGGGTTGGCGAATCAGAAACGTGCAATATATATGAATATAAAACGTGGGAATGGATGGAGTCCCACTGCACTGAAAGTAGACAACAACTGTCGGCCATTGACGTTTCTTTTCTTTCTCTGTTCGGCAGCGAGTTTTGCTGCAAAGCGCCGGGCGCGCAGTTAAATCCTCATTCGCCTGCAACGACTCCATCTGGGCGCCGAGTAATGCGCGAGTGGGTGAAAGCCGGGCGAGCAGCTGAGGGGGAGGGAGAAAGAGAGAGGCGCGGAGAGTGAGGGAGAGGAGCTAAGTATTACTCTCAAGACGCGGCGGCGGAGATAAAACGAGAACACGTACAACCGGCGAGAATGAAGGGAAGGGAAGTGAAGAGAATGGAGGGGCAATAACTCAATAACCCAGCACAGATATTCTTCAGGGCAAGACAGAACTATGACTTTAACCCTGTTTTCACACCATAACCTGAGCCAGGCGGTCAAGCTAAGATAAGCTAAGATAAAATACATTAAAAGGTCATGCAATAAAAGCTCAAATGCTAAAATGCTAAACAAGTGTGACGGCCCGGATTAAAAAGCCAAACGGGCCACATCGGGCCTCCCGGGCCTTGGTTTGCCCATGCCTGACCTAAGCCTTTACTCTTATCTTAACCACAACGTGTTCTTGCCAAACATTTCCCTTAAGCAAAAGTTCTAGTTGTAGTGATGCCATGCTATGAGTCAATATGATCCTCCGGCACCAGCGCAGAGACATAATTCCAATTGAATAAATATATTGGAATTATCTCCATATACATGCTCCTGAAGAGTTAATTGACTTAGTCACTTAGCTGGGTAGCTAACGAGCTCCTAGCTTGTGTTTATACAATAAGTGTAATGTCTAGTTCCAAATCTGTTCGATATATGTACGGTATTGCCCAACTAAAACGTCCATTGGACGGTCTATTACATTCAATACATGATGTCTCGTGTATTGCTTTGTTGTCTATTTACCTCTGAATAGGATCAATTTGAAATAATATTAATAAAGAAAGCTTTTAGTGACATGTTTGTTTACATTATAAATCCACCACATAGCCGCCCCAAATTTCCCAAAGCCAGGTTTCTATTAATAATAATCTGAATCAGAGATGCTTTATCGACCACTGGAGGAAATTGTGTGAATGTGAAGTTAGCAGACGTATTTAGAATCCCTGGAGGAAATTGTGTGAAGTTAGCAGACGTATTTAGAATCGTGACTTCCAAGACAGCAGTCCATGGCTGGTCTTTTCTGCAGCTTCTCTTTTTAGGTCATATTTGTAACCTGACTCGTAGATCGTTCCTCATATACAGTCTATGGGAATTCCCAACACTGGAGTGGTTATTGACCAGTAACTGGATCCTCACAGGTTATTGTTACACACACACGCTCCTTACAGCGTTAGCCGCGGTGCCATCATTAGACAAGTATCTGATGATGCAGATTTTAATGTGCATGCTGCGATACCAGACGCTATCAGCAGGCAGAGCTAAATTTTACTTACAACGTCGGAATGGAATATCATCACGCATAAATGCGTCTAGTACGAAACGTGCACGAGAAAAACACTGATGATATTCCATCCTTTATCGTAACTGTATTATCCCCATCGGGCTTTCTTGTCTGACATTTGATTGGCTATGTCCTGGACAGATCTGTTACATGTGACAGGGCTTACGCGCAGGGATGGCTCGATACAACGGTCATGTCTGATACCTATAGGCCAACCTGCGCAAGTCGGTTCCATGATGTATCGGTTACTTGGTAGCATGTTGCAAGTAGACCTGCTGTTAACACAAGAATTTCCCGAATATGCGATCAATAAGGTTGGTGTGGAACCCCAGGGTTCACCTCCTGGGCAAGTTCTAATCCCGGTTAGGGCGGATGGTACCTTCCAGTGGACTCACCACCCGCAGGAAGGTTTAGGGGGGTTGGTATGGTACAGTGTGATTTGAGTGGCGGTCATGGAGACTGCTGCCCCCAGTGTATGAAAATGGATGGATGGATGGTGCAATTTGGATTATCTGCGGATACTGATATCGATCCGATACCTTATTTTCGTCTCCAGCATCTTTGCTAAGGCGATGAAAATGGATGTCGATCCGATACCTTCTTTTCGTCTCCAGCATCTTTGCTAAGGCGGTAGCATCCCTTTGTACCGCATGTCGCACAAACTTGAGTTGAACATTATGGCTTGGGTATCGCATCAGATGGGCTATGGTTGTTTTTTTGTCGATAATTGATCAAGCTTGTCGGTGATTGATCAATCTGAAATTTTGATCAATTTCAGTTTGATACCAATCCTGAGTATTGGATTGAGCCGTCAATACTTACGTACAGACTAAAATTAACTACAATCCAAACAGAGAACCATCCGGAAAACCCATCAAGACGTAAGCAACTTTTCACCGTTCCAAAGAGTTCCGAGTAAGAACCTTTCGGCCTAATAGTCGAGTTCCTGTAAGTGGCCAGTTTCCTTGCAAATAATTCGCAGCTCGCAACAGGTTCAAAACACAGATAATGTAATATTTGGCGAATGTCTCCGGCTGTCCGTGTCAGTGGATTCTGACCTTTCAATTGAAGACATCTCCTTCTTCTCATCATAGACACACGTCGGTGAGATTTTTTTTTTTCAAGATCTACGCATTCGGCAGCCTCGATGAATACAAACAACCGCGCTCCGTTTGGCTGTGACATTTTGATGATGAGCTGTTGATCAGACACGGCTGACCTCTGCCACAAACTCTAGCAGAGAAATCATCTTTATTTATACGGCATCTCTCTCTCTCTCTCTCTCGCTCTCAGACCCAAGTGCGTCGCTGAGCAGGCTATAACAATAAAACCAAAAGAATAATACTCGATAGCATAAAACCAAATAAGCAGGATGGGAATAAATATGCAAACCACTGTCTGAAATGTAAAGACTCGGGCGGTAACATCATCTCAAAATAAAAGCCAGATTTTTGTAAAAAAAAAAACAACACAGAAAAAACAAGGGCTCTTTAGTTTGGTCTAATGTGCAGAGGCAGAGCGCTTCACAGTTTAGAGGCATAAAAACAGAAGGAGGCCTCATCGGTGCTTTTATGGGACACAGATGGAGCGTTTTTAGTGATCCGGATGGAACATAAAGTGAAAGAAGATCTCTGATGTAGGGAGGAGTGAGGTCATTTAAAGCTTTACAGACAAGTAAAAGAACAATAAAATCAACTCTGAGAGATACGGGTAGCCAGGGTTCTCCAGCTATCCAGTGGGGGGGGAATAACACGTGTTTTATTTCGCGTCAGTTTGGCCTGTGGCAGTAACTATTTGAACAAGCAGTAGTTAGGCAGACACTGTATAAGAGCCGACTGAGCTGTCAGCACATTGTGGAGTTTTCTAAAAATATGTTTCACTTGAGTTTAGGGAGAACGTAACGATGGTTGAATGTGGTTTTATTAAGGCGTATTACCTAGTATTTGAAATTTGTATTTGTACCTGGTATTTTTTACGGCGTATGTGAAAATTTCACTGCTGATTTCATTGGAAGGCCACATCAGTCTTACATGTTCGATCCAAAAAAAAATATTTTAGAAAAATTTTCAAAAATGATACGTTTTATTATATATACTGTACTGTACCGTGGGTACTATATAATACTAGC